TTTCCAGAGCTGCAAGACAGAATATGATGATACCCTGCAGCTGCCTTGCTATGCACCATGGAAAGAAACAACTCAAGGGTGATGTTGGCATTCACAGAGCAGCTGCACACAGTGGACCGCTGTTTCTGGGCCCAAGAAACAAGCAGACTGGTGGGATCACATCGTTATGCAGGTGTGGGATGCCAGCAGAACTTTCGGCTGCACAAAGCCACATTCATGGAATTGTGTGCAAAGCTCGCCCCAACCCTCCAGCGCAGCACCACCAATGCAGCTGCACTCCTGGTGGAAAAGTGACTGGTGATCGCTGTGTGGAAGCTGGCAACATCGACTGCTACCGATCAGTCGGGAATCAGTTTGGAGTTGGGAAATCAACTGTGGGGGTTGCTGTGATGCAAGTGTGCAGGGCCATTAATTGCCTCCTGCTACGAAGGACTGTGACTCTGGACAACGTGCAGGAAATAGAACTATAGAAGGGACCGCAAGGGTCATCTAGTCATAGAATCATAGAAGATTAAGGTTGGAAGGGACCTCAGGAGGTCATCTAGTCCAAAGCAGGACCAACACCAACTAAATGATCCCAGCCAGGGCTTTGTCAAGGTGGGCCTTATAAACCTTTAAGGATGGAGATTCCACCACCTCCCTAGGGAACCCATTCCAGTGCTTCACCACCCTCCTACTGAAATATTTTTCCTAATATCCAACCTAGACCTCCCCCACTGCAACTTGAGACCATTACTCCTTGTTCTGTCATCTGCCACCACTGAGAACAGCCAACCCCCCCTTCTTTGGAACCCCCCTTCAGGTAGTTGAAGGCTCCTATCAAATCCCCTCTCACTCTTCTCTTTTCCAGACTAAACAAGCCCAGTTCCTTCAGCCTCTCCTGATAAGTCATGTGCTCCAGCCCCCTGATCATTTTCGTTGCCCTCCGCTGGACTCTCTCCAATTTGTCCACATCCTTTCTGTACAGGGGGACCCAAACCTGGACGCAATACTCCAGATGTGGCCTCACCAATGCTGAATACAGGGGAATACTCACTTCCCTCGATCTGCTGGCAATGCGCCTACTAATGCAGCCCAATATGCTATTAGCCTTCTTGGCAACAAGGGCACACTGTTGACTCATATCCAGCTTCTTATCCACTGTAATCCCCAGGTCCTTTTCTGCAGAGCTGCTGCTTAGCCAGTCGGTCCCCAGCCTGTAGCGGTGCATGGGATTCTTTCTTTCTAAGTGCAGGACTCTGCACTTGTCCTTGTTGAACCTCATCAGATTTCTTTTGGCCCAATCCTCCATTTTGTCTAGATCACTCTGGACCCTATCCCTACCCTCCAGCATATCTACCTCTCCCCCAAGCTTAGTCTAACCCCCCTCCCAAGATGCGGGATCTGTTGTGTCTAAACCATCCAAGACAGACGGCTCTCCAGCCTCCTTTTGAAAGCCTCCAATGAAGGAGCTTCCACAACTTCCCAAGGCATCTGTTCCATTGTCCTACTGTTCTTACAGATATGAAGTTTTTCCTGAGTTTTTTTCCTAAATCTGCTCTACTGTAGTTTGAACTCATAGCCTCTTGTCCTTCCCTCTGTGGCAAGAGAGAACAACTTTTCTCCATCTTTTTTATAGCAGCCTTTCAAGTATTTGAAGACCATGATCATATCCTCCTTAATCTCCTCTTTTCCAAACTAAACATGCCCAGTTCCTTCAGCCTTTGCTCAGATGGCTGCATTTCATCCTTTTGATCATCTTTGTCACTTGCCTCTGGATCCTTTCCAGTTTCTCTACATCCTTTCTATATAGTGGTGAGCAAAATTGGACACAGTACTGCAGCTAAGGCCTAACCAGTGCTGAGTAGAGCGGTACTATCACCTCCTGTGACTTGCATCCCAAAATTGCATTTGCTTTTTTTGCAACAGCATCGCATCGTTGAGGTTGTGATCCGCTAGATCTCCCAGAGCCCTCTCAGCAGCGCTGCTGCCCAGCCAGTTATCTCCCATTCTCATGGGTGGCATGTATAAGAGGTTAGGCCTCCCCCCAAAAAGGCTGGCCATGCAGGGGGCAAGAAATGCCAGATGCGGCCTGGCACTGGCCCGCTGCCTTTGGAGTGCCGCCGCCAGAAGGTCCCTAGAAGTGGGGGGCCACCAGGGCAGCAGCAAGGAGCGCTTCAACAACAGGTTTAGCAGGTGCAGAATGACAGCTGAGCTCGATGTGCCTTTGGCTGTTTGAAAGGCTGCTGGTCATGTCTACTCATGAGATTAGACCTCAGTGAAGAAAATATCCCCATGGTCATAGCTACCTGCTGGGTGCTTCATAATATCTGTGAGGCAAAGGGGGAGAAGTTTCCGCAGGGGTGGAGGTGAAAAGTCTCTCTGCTGATTTAGAGCAGCTATAAGAAGAGCTCAGCGGGGAGCTATATGGCTCAGTGGGGCTTCAAGGACCATTTTAACAATGAGCCACAGTGGTGAGTGTTGCTGTAGTGTGCTGTGCCTGGCATTGCTTTTTGCCCCAATATGAACCTTGTAATGAGTGCTCTGGGTGTGGTAACAGAACAGTGCAAATCATAGAATCATAGACTTTAAGGTCAGAAGGGACCATTATGATCATCTAGTCTGACCTCCTGCACAATACAGGCCACAGAATCTCACCGACCCACTGCTGTATCAAACCTATCTGAGCCATTGAAGTCCTCAAATCATGGTTTAAAGAATTCAAGATGCAGAGAATCTTCCAGCAAATGACCCATGCCCCATGCTGCAGAGGAAGATGAAAACCCCCCAGGGCCTCTGCCAATCTGCCCTGAAGGAAAATTCCTTCCCGACCCCAAGTATGGCGATCAGTTAAACCCTGAGCATGTGGGCAAGACTCACCAGCCAGACACCCAGGAAAGAATTCTCTGTAGTAACTCAGATCCCACCCCATCTAACATCCCATCACCGGCCATTGGGCATATTTACCGCTAATAGTCAAAGACCAATTAATTGCCAAAATTAGGCTATCCAATTATACCATCCCCTCCATAAACTTATCAAGCTTAGTCTTGAAGCCAGATATGTCTTTTGCCCCCACTGCTCCCCTTGGGAGGCTGTTCCAGAACTTCATTCCTCTGATGGTTAGAAACCTTCGTCTAATTTCAAGTCTAAACTTCCTGATGGTCAGTTTATATCCATTTGTTCGTGTGTCCACATTGATACTGAGCTTAAATAATTCCTCTCCCTCCCTGGTATTTATTCCTCTGATATATTTATAGAGAGCAATCATATCTCCCCTCAGCCTTCTTTTGGTTAGGCTAAACAAGCCAAGCCAAATGCACCTATTGCTATTATCTGTGAACATCAGCTCCAGCCACCATATGCGGTGGACTAATAAAGATGAATTAAGTTTCCATAAACAGACTTTTATTCCAAACCCAGGCAAACAGACACATTTAAAACTGAACAAAACCTTATAAATACAGGGAAAGTACCTTTGCAGGGGAAAGAATAGTCATTTCCATTTCACAAACACATACACCACCCGTGTCTCTCACAGATCGGGATGTGGATATGAGTCAACAGTGTGCCCTTGTGGCCAAGAAGGCTAACGGCATTTTGGGCTGTATAAATAGGGGCATTGCCAGCAGATCGAGGGACGTGATCATTCCCCTCTGTTCGACATTGGTGAGGCCTCATCTGGAGTACTGTGTCCAGTTTTGGGCCCCACACTACAAGAAGGATGTGGAAAAATTGGAAAGAGTCCAGCGGAGGGCAACAAAAATGATTAGGGGACTGGAGCACATCACTTATGAGGAGAGGCTGAGGGAACTGGGATCGTTTAGTCTGCAGAAGAGAAGAATGAGGGGGGATTTGATAGCTACTTTCAACTACCTGAAGGGGGGTTCCAAAGAGGATGGATCTAGACTGTTCTCAGTGGTACCAGATGACAAAACAAGGAGCAATGGTCTCAAGTTGCAGTGGGGGAGGTCTAGGTTGGATATTAGGAAACACTATTTCACTAGGAGGGTGGTGAAGCACTGGAATGGGTTCCCTAGGGAGGTGGTGGAATCTCCTTCCTTAGAGGTTTTTAAGGTCAGGCTTGACAAAGCCCTGGCTGGGATGATTTAGTTGGGAATTGGTCCTGCTTTGAGCAGGGGGTTGGACTAGATGACCTCCTGAGGTCCCTTCCAACCCTGATATTCTATGATTCTATGTGTGGCTGTGATTGCATGTACTCTCCCTCCAGCTGGAGTGATAGGGGTAGTGCTGCTGCCCCGGAAGATATGTGGAATGTGGGGGGGAGTTTAGGGAGGTCCTGTAATGCAGTTCTCTATGGGCTGCAGGAGGAGGCAAGCACAGATCTGTTCAGCCTGAGGTTCAATCAGAGACCGCAGCATGTCTGTTTGCTCCCTGAGCAGCACTGTCATCTCATACTGCCTGTTTCTCCTGACCCTGCTATCCCTCTGCATTCTGTCCTTGAGTGTGACTCTTCAAGCCCTGTGCTCAGAATCTGAAGCACCAGAGGCTTGCAGGACATTCTGGTACATTTCTTTCTGTACTCAATAATTTTAGTTTGTTGTGTGGTTATGATTAACTAACATGTTATGTCATAGATCATCATTGTATGTTAAATAGGGTTAAACTGTAGGATTTGCTGCTGCTGGGGAGGGCGGCTGGCGAGGCTGGCAGGCTCCCTAACTGGCTCCGCACAGCTCCCCAGAAGCAGCGACATGTCCCTCGGTTCCTAGGCGGAGGCGTGGCCAGGGGGCCTCTGCGCGCTGCTCTCGCCCTAAGCACCCGCTCCGCAGTGCCCATTGGCCGGGAACCATTAACAATGGGAGCTGCAGGGGCGGTGCCTATGGGCAGAGGCAGCGCACAGAGCTGCCATGCTGATTTAGCCATACTAGGCCTTGGAGCTAAGAAATGCTGACATAAGTAAGTGACCGAAGACTAACCCGATGCCCTAAGATTACGGGAAAAGATGTACCAATGGGTGATATTGCGAAAAATTAACAGTAAAAGTAATTTTTGCTTACATTTCCTTGTCCTCCTCTTTCTCCTCCGTATCTGGCCAAGCTGCTCCACTAGTGTGGAGGGAGAGACCCTCAAGGCCACATTTGGAGCGGCTAAAGAAATAATGGACAGAGATACTATTGTGAGTGCATTCACTCCCCTTGAGCCACACAAGTTACAAGCACAACATTCTCACTTCTCCTTGGGATTCACAGAGCACAGCGGCAGTCCCAGCCATGGTGAGTACGGCCCGGGGGAGAGGGGTCGTTCTGCTGCAGACTGTGTCCATATGCTGCTAGTCTGTGTGCTGCAATGATGCCTGCTGAAGTAACTGCTGACTGGCATGGGAAAGTGTCCTACTGCCGTGGTAGAAGTAAGGCAGCCCTCCCCAGAAACCTTTGGCAGAGGATTGCAGACTACCTCCAGCAAAGTTTCCTTGAGATCTCTATGAAGGATTCACGGGACGTCCTGGGGCACATAAATGAACTGTTCCGCCGGACCCCCTCTGCCTAGCTGTACAGGGAATGAGAAGCAGATAGCCACTGTACCTCCACTGTTTATTTCACCACCTCTTCTAGCCTGATTTAAAAAATTGTACCTGAACACGTGTCCCTGCAATACTGAAGCAGACTGCATACTTACCAGAGGTCCCTTCCCCTGCATCAGGCTCACCAGTGCTGTACTGCTGGGAGTGGCTCTTCTGCTCAGGAGTCAAAAAGAGGTCCTGGCTTGCTGCTCCACTGGACACCCTCCGGTCGCCTGTCCCCCATACTCCTCCTCCTCAGGGTTCACTTCAGTGGCCTGTGACTCCAGCTCCCCCAAAGTATCCCCAAGGGCAGTGGGGGTGGGGTCACTGCCGAGGATGGCATGCAGTTCCTTGAAGTGGCAGGTCAGCAGCTCCACACCAGAGCGACTGTTTGGCTCCCTTCCCTTCTGGTACGCCTGTCACAGCTCCTTGATTTTCACATGGCACTGCTACGTGTCCCTGTTGTAACCCTTCTCCCCCATGCCCCAAGCGATCTGGCCATAGATATCGAAGTTCCTATGGCTGGATCGGAGCTGTGCCTGCACAGCCTCCTCTCCTCACAGACCCAGGAGATCCACCACCTCCTGTGTACTCGGGGAGGAGCACCTCTACTGCATGGAGCCAGCATGGTCAGCTGGGCAGTTGCTATGTGAGCTCTCCATGCCAACCAAACAGGAAATGGAATTTCAATTATGCGTGGGGCTTTAAAGGGGAGGGGGAGGGGGAGAGACATATTCCTGCATACCTGGTCGCCGGGCAGCAGAGTTCAAAACGGTGACCAGAGGGGTCACAATGAGGTATTGTGGGACACCTCCTGGAGGCCACTGAAGTCGACATAAGTAACACAGTGACTACACTGTCACTGTGTTGACCTAACTACATTGAACTAAGCGCTATGCCTCTCGCTGAGGTGGAGTTATTAGGTCGGTGTAGTGGGTGACTTGCATCAGTGGGAGGAACATTGTAGTGTAGACACTTACACAGGTAGGTCGACCTAACTCTGTAGTGTGGACCAGGCCTGAGAGTTTGAGACCTTGCTGCACAGCGGCCAAGAGGAACCAGGGTGGGAAGGGTCCGGCTGCATCGCTTTGCTGAGCAGGAGCATTCGGTTGCCCCCAATGGCCACAGCTGTGCCGGGGTTCCAAATGTGGGGCTCCAGGCTGTCGGGACTGGAGAACAGCAGGTGCTTTCTGAGACAGAGGCTCAGCTCAGTCCCACTGCAGGCTAGAAATATGCTGTGCCGCTGCATTCCAGCCACTCCCAGGGTCAGCTGCGGGGCACACAGGAGGCGGCCAAATGCATCATCTCCTCCAAACAAGAGTTCATAGCACAACTAGCTGCATTTTAGCTACTTCCTGAGTCAAAGAACGTGAGACTAGTGTCATAGGACAGGGCTATCTGGGGAGCAGAATTCAATCCTTAAATGAGAGAAACTAGAACATGCTGTGCAAGGCCCGGCTGGCAAGAGCAGATAAACCAGCCTGCCTGAAAACCCTGTCTTGGCTCACACTAACGCCGTCCTGTCCTTCACTCGCCGTTAGGGTGACCAGACGCCCCGTTTTTAACGGGACAGTCCCGTATTTAAGCCTTCTTCCAGGTGTCCCGACTTGCTGTTGTATACAGGCAAATTGTTCCATATTTTCTGGGATCGCAGCATAGAGCCAGCAATGGGGGGCAGCAAGCGGCCATGCCCCACCCCCCCTTTGCTCTCCCCAGTGCCTGCCAAAGCCAGAATCTCCCTTGCTGCCTCCTCCAGCAGCATTGCCGGGGATGGGCAGCGAGAGCGTGCCCAGGAGCAGCCCGGGCTCCGCCACCCCCAGCTCCTGCTCCTGCCCCACCATCCCACGCCTCCCGGGCAGCACTCCCGCCAAGCCGTTGTCAGCTCCTGCCTTGCTTGGGTGAGAAGCCAGGGCATGGCGTGTCCCCCCCCCCACACACACCTCCTGTGCCCCCTGCCCAGCGCCTGGGGCAGCCTGCAGGAAAGGGGGTCCCTGCTCACTCCCTCATTTCACCTCATTGCCAACCCTCCCCCTGCATGTGGGGCGCCAGTGGGGCACAGAGTAACATGGGGGGGCAGTGGCAATGCCAACCCTGCGCTGGAGGAAGGGCTAGGGAGAGCAGCTCGGGCTGGCCGGCTCGCCCTGTGAACAGGGAGACATGGGGCCCTGGGCAGCCCCGCACGTGGGCATGCGGCTGGGAGGGAGATCAGACCACCAGCCCCGCAGAAAGGCATGCAGCAGGGCTTGGAGGACCAGCCCTGCGTGCAGGGGCAGCTTGGACCAGCCCCATGCCTGGGGGGAAGAGGGCTGTGGGAGGTTGTGGCAGGTGGCAGGGGGCTCAGATGGGAGATGGGTGTCACAGGCAGGTGGCAGGGTGGCTCGGGCCAGCCCTGGTCACCAGTGGGGAGGGGGGACCTCAGGCTGGGCAGGGAGGACTTGGACCAGCCACGTGTGTGTGGGTGGGGGGGGGGGAGGGCAGCCGTGGGGGTCGTCCCTATTTTTCCGTTTTAGGGAAAATA